GGTTAAAGGCTGGAAACTAAAATTTATGTCTAGTTCTAGTTTTGTTTGATTTCATCTTGAATACTGCAGATTTTATGTAATAGTGTTTTCACAAAGTTGTGTTCTACAATAACAGCAACATAGAATCCTTATTGATTTATCGCAACAAACAACATTTACACAAACAAGAGCAACAAGAAAAGTAAAAATCTAAATGGAGCAAAGCTTCAGGGTGTAAAAAATGCTCTGATGTGACATGGTAAAGTAAAGCTCAGGGCCTGAGAGCTGTTTAATTTAACACACTGAAGCAGAGACATGAAGGTGGATCCTCAGGTGAGGTTTACAGGTAGCTGGTAAATTTCAGACTCACCTCAGGGACACATGACAGGAAGGGCTTGATGTAGATGTTGGAGTTGTACACCTTCAGGTCATGATCTCCCAGCCCACGAGTCACCCCGATTGTTGCCATTACACGAGCCTATACTCAATCACAGAGACACACGCAAACACACAACCACACACACAACCACACACACACACACAGGGTCAGATAACAATGTATTACAAGGTTTTTGTTCCAGGATAAGCTTCAATTCCCGGAAAATCCAATTATGACGGATTATTAGGAGAGAGCATGCTCTTTCAGAGAATAATAAAAAAAAACTGAGCGAGTCTCATTAAAGTCCAGGCAGACACAACATTTAGAGAACGACTAGAAATCAATGAGAATGCTTCAAAATTGAAAAAAGAAATTAATATAAACTGTTTAACTTCAAAGGGAACAAATCATCCCGCAAAATGTTGATATAAAACATTTAAATGCATCCAAAACATTTTAAAGAATAGCCTAAAGTGTGACTAACGCTGTCCATATTCATAAACCACAATGTTGTGCTCAGAAGAAAAAACAATAACCCATATTTTATTATATTTGCTTCAAAAGAAATGCAATTTCTTCTGGTCTTGATCCAAAGTTCTCCAGAATAAAAGATAAGCTATATTGAGTCTTACCTTTTTCCCCTCTCCATATATCAGTGGGAATTTCAGATCATCTTCAACAATTGTCTTATAGGCCCTGCAGCAGCAAAAGAAACAAACATCTGATTATTGGAATAATGATTACTGCAGGGTCAACCAAGAAATAATGACTCTAAAGATTACCACTAAAAGCTTTCTTTATTTTCTTATTCAGCCTCTAATACATAAATCATTTATTTTAGTTGTCAAGAACAAATCACATGCTAACTTTTGTAAATACGTCTGTATGTCTGATGAAGAGTGAGCAGTTTTACCAGCCAGTCATGGTGTGGTCTCTGTAGAGCATCTTCTTGCCCAGCTCACTGTGCTGGATCCTCCGAGGGAACTCAATGTGAGTGAACTCGTTACCCAGAAGTGCAGGCCTAAGGAAGCCCTGGAGGGTCATAAATAATTAAAAGAGGTTGAATCAAACTAGAGAATGAAAGAAAGTGGGTAACGGTTTCAGATGTGCAACAGTGAGCCTGCAGAGTGAAAAGTAGTAACGATAATAGAAATAGAAGCTCCAGGTATAACATAGAGAGAATATGAAAACAGATAATTAATGATTTACAGGCTTCTCTGTAGGGATGGGAACCAAAACCTGGTTTCAAACGGCCCCTGGGGCAACGTCAGACGGCCCTCATGGACCAACAGGCTTCAGCCTTATTGAACCTCTTAAAGGTATTATTGAGAAAACATTGTTCTGCAGACTCCTTAAGAAACAGAGCGCTGATGGGAGGGGCTAACCTCTGCTCATACATGTCGGTCTCACTCGCATCAAGGCTATTGTAAATTTAGCAAAATTATCCCCATATTTAGCGACTTTACTGACTCATTTAATTTTTTATTTTTCCAAAGACCCACAAGCGATTTTTGTAGCGGCTTTTTGTGTTGTTTGGGACTTTTGTGACAATTGAAAACCATAAACCTTACTGATGATCAGTCAGTCAGCCTGGCTGTGCAGTAACTACGATGGGAGATGGAGACTTGTCTCTTTTCCCAAAATATATCAAGCTGGATGAGCAAACTTCCAATGTTTCCACCCAAGATGACAGGATGTAAATATAATCTAAATGTAATCTTGGAATTTTTTTTTTTTTTGTCTGACACTTTTCACACCTAGATCTGCCTTGTAAATGATTTAAACTCAGCATATTACCTCATTCACTGTTGATTATTCTGTAATGCTTTGGTGAAATTAGATAATATAGACAAAATCTGTATGTAGTGTTGGTTTAGGTTAAAAAATAAATTAATACTTAAGTTCATGTTTGTTAGTTTTTAGCATATTAAGATAGTTTTTAATCACTCTGGTTTGCTCACTTTTATAATCCTCTCTCCTACTTATATACAACATAGTTCTTTTTGTTAAGATATAGTGTTTAAGCATTAATTTAGCATGTGTTTTATGTATGTAGTGTTTATTTTTCTTTAATTAAAACAAAAACTATTGATTAGTGCAGGGGGAACCACCGGAGACATTTTTAATTATAATCTGTTACTTTAAACGGAATTTAACACTAAAATAAAATTAGGTTTTTATGCATTTTTAAATAAAATAAAAAAATCTTTTTAAAATCTAAAGTGTTTCTTGAAGTAGAGAACAACAATCTTTCAGTTTGGTATATAGACAATTTCCTGATTCACATAATTTATAAAACACCTGAACTGACATTTTTTGTTTTGTTTTTATGGCTTAATGAGAGCAGTGGGCTTTATGCTGCCCTGCAAGGCTTTAAACCTGAGTTTGATTGTAGTCTAAATCATTCTAAAGCACATATCAAGGTGTTCATTTTGGATCCTGGATCCATATTTATTTTTGATTCTGTTCATGGTGGAGAATCCTGCTTCAAAGCAGTAGGTTGAGCCAAACATACTCAAAATGTGCAGGGTCATCTTTGAGCATGCCGTTTCACTTTTCTGTCACCAGTTCACTGCAGTTCTTCTAGCAGTCCACACTTTCTTTCACTTTTTCTCATCGTCTTCTCCTTCTTTCCCATCGCCCGGCTTGCCACAGGTTTGCCTGCTGTGTCTAAAAGTAGCAGCAGCAGCAGCCCAGACTGACAGCAGCTCATTGGATCATTTGTTTGTAGTCTGGTGCCCGGACGCTCAGCAGGGCTTTACCATATTAACAGGAGAAGCAGCGCAAGTTAAATTAGACTCTGCTGTCGGACAATATG